CAAAACAAAATAAAAACAGGTTTTCTCACTCTTTCCCGTGCTAAGTGACAGTCCTCCTTGCTAGCCTTGCCACTGCTGTTGATTGCCTCCGGCGTTTGCAAGAAAGAAAGCAAGAGGCAGAACATGTTCTTCATAAAAAAATGCCCAGAACTGATTTTCTATGTGTTGGTAAAATAGCATTTGCTGTATTTTTGCTTGTAGGTTGGTTGGTAGATTTTATACAGTTACCTAGAAACTCTCAAGGCCAAATCTACCATTACCTTGGATTCACATCTGAGATGTATTATTTACTGATATTGTTTGAGCATTGAGGCAATTCATATGCATATATCCTGATCTCTAACTATAGTTCTGTTTCCTGAGAAGACACCAGGTGGAAGAGTGACACCATTCATAATGGAGAGAGTATGGTAATTTTTAAGAACTATGAGTTGTTAATATAAAATATTGATATTCAGGTTTAGTTTGAAAACTGAAAGAAAAAAAAAAACACTTCAAATTAATGGATTGAGGAAGAAATCATAATGAAAAACAAGATATTAAAATGAATAGCTAAAAGAATCCACCTAAGAAATTAGAACTAGAACACAGAGTATACATATAGAGTATACATATAGAGTATAATAGGATGGTAATTAAAAAGATAATAGAGGAAAATAAAGGACAGCAAAGAAATACTGTTGTTGTTATTGTTACATGCCATGGAGTCAGACCCGACTCATAGCGACCCCTCCTTGGGTTTCCAAGGCAATATCATTACGGAAGTAGATTCCTTCCAAGGAGTGGCTGATGGGTTTGAACCACCAGTCTCTGGTTAGCAGTCAAATACCTTAGGCACTATGCTACCAGAGCTCCTAAAGAAATACTACAGAGGATAAAAAAAAAAAGTTGGTCAGAGGCTAATAAAATGGAGAAATCTTTGACAAACTGATGAAGGAAAAATAAGAGGCAGAGATAAACAATATTTGGAATGAAAAACGGCATATAACAACAGATAATAAAGATTTTTTAAAAAATCAAAGACCATACTATGAACAGTATTTTTCACTTCATTTGAAAAAGATGCAGTGAACAAGTTTG